AGTAGTAGGCCTTATAAGGGAATTTTACTAGCCCCTCTTATAATACTACGTTCGCTGCTTCCTCTATAACTATAATATCTATAGCTATACTAAGATTTAAAGGGCGTAGCTTAAGGGGCTACTTAAGTAGCTTTTAATACCTAACCGGTTCTATATATATATATAAATAGACTTTATAATAGACCTTCCGCTTATAAAAGAAAGTAACCGTAATATATAGGTAATTAAGGACTAGCTTAATAAATTAATAGTATTAAAGCTAATACTATCTATAAATATAAAAGCTTATATAAAGCGCTTCCTTTAATACTAAGCTTACTTATATAGCTAGCCGACTTTTATTATAAGTAATAAAGTATTAAACTAAACTAGCCGCTTTTAGTAGTACTTATACTAGCTACTTTAAATTATATAGCTACTTAGTATAGCTTATTACCTATAGACTAATAAGGGACCTAAGAGGGTTAACTAGGAAGTATAGGCGTACTTATAGGTAGTAGTAGCCTATAACTAAGTAGACTAAGACCGCTAGCTCCCTACGGCCTAGCTTATATTAAATAGTAAACTATAGACCTTTATTACAATAGCCCCCTTCTTCGCTATATATAGCTTTAAGCCGCCCTCCTTAATCCCGTTCGCTATAGATATAGTAGCGGAGTAATATAGTAGTTTATTACTAAAAAGCTATACCTCTACGTTTATATAGAAGCTATAAGAAACTATAGAATACTATTAATCCGCGATAGCCGCCTTAGCGTAAGATTAAGAGCGGCACGCTAATAAGACTAAGGCCTTAGCGGATAGGTTTATAGTAAGAGATAAGGTATAGCTTAATCTCTATAACTATAGGTTAGCGCGGCTAAAGAAGAAGCTAGACTAGCTATATATAAAGTTTATAGTATAAAGGGTTATTAGCTTATAGGTAGTTAAGCTTAGTAGTCTTTTAATAAGGGTCTATAATAAGATTAATATTAACCTCCTTCGCTAAGCTTCCTCTAACCTATTACTTATATAAGAAGTAGTAGACGCTTAACCGCCTACTATTAAGGTAGAAGGGGATAACGAATTTAAGGTTAAGGAGATATAAGCTATATACTAGAAAAAGGTTAGCTAGGGGAATCGCTAAGAGGTCCTTATAAAGTAGCGCGGGTACCTTAACTTAATATAGGAGCCTATATATAAGTTTATAAGAGCTATAGCCCTTAATAAGTTCGAGGCCTTATATAAACTAGTAAATAAAAATAATAGACTAATAGACTATTAATAGTAGCTTAAGCTAAGACTATAAAGTAAGTAAAATAAAGGGGGTAGTTATAGTAATATAAGTATAATAATATAAGTAAAGATAAAAATAGCGTTTATTATAAGGTAAAGCCCTTAAACTACCTAGGCCTATTCCTTATTATCGTTATTACCTTTATTATTATTATTATTATCGTTATCCTTATTAGCCTTCTCTTACTTATTAGCGGCGGCGGCGCTCTTTAAGGCGCTAAGGCGGCCCTCTAAGCCCGTAAGCTAGTCGGCGGCAGCGGCGGCTTTAGGGGTAAAGGGGCGGCGGCTAGCGTCGGCGGCGGCGGTAGGGGTAGTAGCGGTAGCGGAGGCGGGCACGGCTAAGGGAACCGCCGATAAGGCGACGGAGGCGGTATCCCTAGCGCCGGGCGCGTTAAAAGCGGAAGTAAGGGAGCGGAGGAGTAAAGACTTACTTAGGTATAAGGCCCTATCGCTTAAGGGCGCGAAGGTTATAGTATATAGTAGCGGTAGTAGTAAGGCGCTTCTTAGTAGCCCCCTATACTTACCTATATATACTAGCCTTCTAAGCTAATACTATAGCGAGTAGAATAAGAGGCGCCGCCTTATAGGCGCGGCTAGCGCGCGCGTACTAGTAGTAGCTACCGCCGCGGCGGCGCCCGACCTAGTCGGAGTAGTTAAGCTCCTACGACGTATAACGTATATAGGGGGCCGAGTAAGCGGCGCCGGCCTATACTTAGCGCTTATACTATAGGAGGTTAGCGGAAAACGTTTATTACGCTTACTTAACTATAGACTTATAGGGGTAGCGGAGATAGAGGCGGGGGCTAAAGGGCCGGGCGTTATAGGGGGCGGTAGGGATAGCGTCGTTACCTTAAAAGGCGATATAAGGGTAGCTAGCGTAGTAGAAGTAGTAGCGGCGGCGGTAGGCGCGGTAGTAAGGGCGTAGGTAAGAGCGGCGGTAGTAGCGGAGCTATCGTCGGCCGCGGCTAGTATAGCGTCGATAAATAACTTTATATGCTCTAAGAAGGAGGAGGTAAGAGAGAGAGAGGTAGATATATCTATCGCGGAAGTTAGTATAACGGAATATAGCCTCCTACTCTATAAAGCAGAGAACTTATTAGTTAAAGTTATTATTATTATTAAGGCTATTATTACTACTATAGCTATTACTATAAGTATATATTAATAGAGCGGCCTATATAGCTAAGAATAAACTAATACTTTAAGTAAAGTAGAACTTACTTATTACTACTACTACTATAGTTAAAGAAAGGAAAGAAGGAAGGGAAGAAAGAAAGGGGGGATGCCGCCTTATATACCCCTTAGTAAAGGAGGCTGCTTAAGGCTAAGGGGATAGGCAACCTAAGGCTTATATAGGTCCGGGCCGGCCGCCGGCTACCTAAGGGGCGTATATAATAGGTTGCGCCCTTATTTAAACGGCTAGCTAGCCGGTAAGTATAGAGCTAGGTTCCGGCTGCCTAGGCTAATAAGCGCGGGGATAATAGGGCTAGTAGGGCTAGCATAATTAACGGGAAAGGGTAGGGTAGAGCTAGGGCACGGGCCTAATTATACGGAAGCCGTTAATAAGGCAGTGCCGCGCCGCGCTTAAGGGAGGGCATTATATAAGAGTCTTTAACTATTATAGGTTATAGGCTTAAGCTACGGCTTAAGCTATATAGTTATATACGGAGGGCCGGATCCCGTATATATATATATAGGCTAGCCGCGTATAGAAGAGCTCTATATAGCTTATTAATATTATCCTATAGACGGCACCTATATATACGCCTCTACTTACTCCGTAATAGTTACGCCCCTATTTAAACGGCTAGCCGGCCGATAAGTATAGAGCCGGGTTCCGGCTGCCCGGGCTAATAGGCGCGGGGGTAATAGGACTAGTAGGGCTAGCACGATTAACGGGAAAGGGTAGGGTAGAGCTAGCGGCACGGGCCTAATAGTACGGAAGCCGTTAATAGGGCAGCGCCGCGCTACGCTCGAGTAAGGGCATTATATAAGAGTCTTTAACTATTATAGGTTATAGGCTTAGGCTACGGCCTAAGCTATATAGTTACGTATAGAGGGCCGGATCCTATATATATATATACGGGCTAGCCGCGTATAGAAGAGCTTTATATAGCTTATTAATATTATTCTATAGACGGCACCTACGTATATGCCTCTACCTACTCCGTAATAGCTAGCCGCGTATAAAAGAGCTCTATATAGCTTATTAATATTATCCTACGGACGGCACCTATATATACGCCTCTACCTACTCTATAATATATAAGACCCTACCTTTATTTTATATATATATATATATATATTAATCTAAAGCTATCGCTAGCGCTATTATAGACCCTCTTCTCTCTCTCCTTAATACCCTTATACTATAAGGCGACTTAAACAAAGCCTACGATGCCTATAACCTTATGCTTAAGCTAAGTTAAAGCTTAAAAAGCGTAATATTTTAGCACGATAGTAGCTTAAGAAGCTATTAGTAAAGACCCCTCCTTTAATAGTGGTTTTTATACTAATTACTACCTCTAGGACCCCGACGAGCTATTACTATAAATCCGCGATCCTAACGTTATTATAGTTATACGCGGCCGGCCCTGCAATAATAAGCTGCCTATGCCGGGTTCCCTCGTAGGAACGGCATCACAACCAGCGGCGGCAGCAGCAGTAGCAGCAGCAGCGGCGGCGGCGGCGACGACGGTGACGGCGTCACAACAGCACCTAATTCGAGTTAGGCCAGCTCAAGGCGGCTTAACGCAAGCATTCGAAGGCGCCGGGGGCACAACGAAATCGACGAACTTAGCTATAGTCCGCGATCTCTTATAGCGTCATAATAAGGATCGACCGCCCGAGGAAATATAAGGGGAAGGGGATTAAGAGGAGGACGCGGCAGGAGGGGCGCGCCGCCGGCTTCGTCAGGGCAGCCGGCTTCGTCAGGCGTTGGAGGGATCGTTGAGTGGGATGCAATTGAGGCGCCGCCGCCGCCGCCGCCCACACAGCCGTAAGGGCCAGAGGAGGAGCCGGATTAATTAACGGGCCGATTGTTGCAACTTCGAGCTCAAGGCCCGGAAATGCGTTATTTGAGCGAATTGAGAGGCATGCGTTATATGGCCTTTATTGCCTCTTGTGTGTGTGTGTGTGTGTGGGCGGGCGGGGGCGCGGGCGTTTAGGCGGTACCGCTACCTGCCATGCGGGCGCGGTACAAATAGGCGGGGCGGGCTGGTGTTGGTACGTATCTTAAAAATGGGGCCTTTGTACGAATAGCGATGGGTCTTTGTATAAATGGTATTACTTAACTATAATAAGACTAAAATCCGGTAAATCGCTAGATCCGGTAGATCACCGGGAAATCCCTTAGTCTAGGTAACATGGCTTTTTCTAAAAACGGTTAGTCTCCTCTTATAAATAGCCTGAGCCCTTCCTTAGGTTAGATAGAATAGATAAGAATATAGAAGACGAATACAATAATACGGTTAACCCTATCTTTGCATGCAAAGAAGACCTACCAACAGTTTAAATAGTAGACCTTTAGTCGGGAGATTTTTAATTGCGCTACCGAAAGGGGGGTGTTACTAAAGGGGTAGTAGGGTAAAGTAAGTCTTCCTTGCGACGCACCTTGCCTATAAAAGCCTGTTGCTGCGTCCTTTGCTATCCTTCCTAAAGAAATTGACATTCCTTCCAGGCACCCAATGTTTAAGCCAACCCCCCCCCCCTTAAGTAGGGGTTTATCATACGTTCTGGTACGGTGGATAAGCGCATACCACGAGCTGTCTTGTCTTCTGTACCTCAGCAGCTTCCTTGCCAAAATACCGCTCTCCTCGGAAACTAACTATACATTAGTTATCATTTATATTCAGGCTTTAGTCCTTAGCTTTGCGTACCTATACCGAAGGTTCGCTCTAACCAAGTTGCGGATAGCCTCGATATATTCCTCGACTTGGGGATCAACCTGGCTGCCCCATGAAGGAAGTCTCGAGAGAGACTCGTCCCATCTCGCAATGCGACCATCTAGCATTGTCCCGACCATCTCAAATGCCTGTTGCGCGGATAGACCATTGATGCGGCATCTGGCGACCATATTATGAGGCATAGCATCCATCTCCTCTTTGCGGTACGAGATTATGTCGTTGCAACTATAGCACTTAGCCATACATCTAGCGTTAGGTAAATTGGTAGCATGATACTTACATAGCAATCATATCGAAAGCAAGCTGCTGTAGGTCCTTGATGACTTCATGCTCGAACACGTCGGACGGGATGTTGAGGCCATGTGCGTACTCCACCAAGACATACATAGGCCAGCCGGCGATAGATTGTGTCCGCGTCCTGAGCATTTCTTCAAGCTTGTTCGGCGTGTCGCCCCGAGCAGCTCGCCCCACTTGGGTAAGCTGTTGTTGTTTATAGCACAATATCAGTCACTGATATATAGACGGTCTTTTACATTATAGGGCTTACCACGCCATGACGGTAGTGCTCCATGGACTCTATATATCGGCGTATGGTTTCGGGTGATGATTTCTCTTGCATTGTCAGTAATCTCACTTTTTACGAAAGACGTAGAAGACGCACGTCGCACAAATGGTCAAAGATAGAATCGTGGCATTGCACCAGTAGCGACTTCTCGCCCTTCCAGAGCTTACCAGTAAGATGGCTCATAAGGCTGTCCATCTCTAGGCGAGCGCCTTGGACGTCGGTCCCCAGCTCACCCTCGTCGAATCCTTGACATCGTTAACTGCTAACTGGATCGCTGTGAAATGGGAGATCCTACGTACTGTCGTCAAATGGAAACACCCAATTACCCCAGTCACTGACAGTCCTGCAAAGCACAGTCAGCCACCACGCACGTGTCAGTTCTCGCTATGATAAGGCCCAGCTTACCTAAACTTATCCAATGGCGCATGGGGATAAACAATTGCGCAGCAGTAAGTAAAGTCACACTGCCTAACCTTCTCAGCTGCTCTCTGAGAAAGCTGGCAGAATCTGCAGCGCGATGGTTAACGGCTAGTCTAGATCGATTGGAATCATTGTAGCTTCGTAATATTGTACTTAATAATATAATTCTCCGAATCAAGCTTGACTCTCTCCCAGTGAGGGTTCAATGGTGTTATATCTCCGAGGAAAGATTTAAACATATTTGGGATTAGGACCGTAGTAGTATCGTTGGAGGGCATCTTGCTAGCTAATCTTAGAGTATGAATCTAACTTAGAGTAAGAAGGATCCTAGGCAATATATATAGGAAGAAGTAGAGCTAGACGATAAAAGAAGACTAGAGTTTTACTGCTATAATCGCTAGGTAATACTAAATTATTAGCTTTTATCTTCTAATTAAGACTATAGTAGGGCGCTAAAAAGTCCGCTTAATCGCTTATACTAAGCTTATAAATTGTTACGTCTTCTTAGCTAACCTTTCGAAACTAAGCCTAAAATATAAATAAAGTATACGCTTAGAACCCTTATAATAATATATTACGCCCCCCTAAGTATAGCCTCGCGTAGCTACTAGCGGGTGCGTAATATACTACCGAAGTTTATAAATTAGGTAAGGTTTTCCCCTATATAGGTAGAAAACTCTTTACTACCTTTGCTAACTAAGGGTTTATGCCCCCCGCTAATAGGACCTAGCCTAGACCCGACCTAGAACCCGCCTAGCCTGGGAGGGCCCTTTAACCCCCTAGCAAGGGCCGAAATAAGTACCTTAGAGGCTAGGGCCTACTTAGAAGAAGCTTTAAAAGGCTAATACCTTTTAAAGACCCTAGAAGAAAGGCCCGAGACCTAAGACTAGGACCTAGAGGATATTAAGATAGAAGATAATACGTAGGCTATATTAAAGACTAGCCTCTTTAAGCCTAGCTTAGCCCTACCTTAGGCTAGCTACTTTTAGCTTAACGAGCCTTTAAAGTAAGTAAAAAGGTAAAAGAGAGCTGCCCTTAATAGCCCTATGCCTATCCGACCTATATTTTAATAATTATAGTAAACCTAGCCCTAGCCCTAGCACCCTTTCCCTAAGGACCGGGCCTAGGGCTTCTTTTAGTAGGTCCTCTAGGCCCTTAAAGAAGACTAAAAAATCGAACCCTTTTATAAGACCTTTATAGAAGGGCTTAAGAAAGTAGCTATAAGGACCCTAGACTACTAATAGCCCCCGTAATAGCCCTTATACTAGCCTAAGGCCGCCTAGTAGCTTAAGGCTACCTAAGGAAACCTTAAAGCTAGCTTATAGGCTAAGGTTACTATAAAGAAGGCGCTTAAGGCCTAGGCTAAGGCCCTAACTAAGGCCCTAGCTAAGAGGAATATAAAGGAGGACTTTTAACTTATCTTAAAGCTAAAAAAAAAAGGATTGCTAACGCTAACTATTAGCCTTATTACTCTTTATAACGAGCTTAATAGGGCTATAGTAAAACTAGCTATATTAGGTCTATTATTACGACCACGGTTAGCGGGCCGTAGGAGAGCCGGCCACGTTTACGTAATAAGGCGGCTCGGAATAATAGTCGGGACGAGAAGTCACTTAGGCTTAGCTTACCTAGAGCGTACGTAAGCTAAGTAAGCCTTATATAGATAGATTACTACTTAGGAGTATAGCTTACGAGTAAGCTATAGTAAGCTACGAAGGGGATCACGGCTAGGACCGTGATCTAAGGACAGTCTCTATAGGTATATATAGCTACCTACTTTTACTCCTTTAAATAGATAGCTCGATAGCTTTTAATATAGATCTTTATTACGATCCTATCTCTAATTCTAATTACCTAGTTATAGTCTACGGTCTATAACCTCCGACTTATTACTAACGTAATATACTTATTATTACTTAGACCACGCCCTATTATATCTACTAATATAAACCCCTTAATAGGTTTATCCCTTAGGAATAATACCGGTCGTTATACGTTAAAAGCTCTTATTTAGTGCAATACTACGTTACTCTAAGCAATATCGTAACTATTAATATACCTATATAGCAAGCTAGATTAACTAACTCTAGAGCTACTATATCGCCTTAGGATATAATACGTAAAATTATCGCCCTTCGATATAAGGTATAGTTACTTAAGAACGGAGGAGGCAACGGATAAGTTAGGGACCTTAGAGAAGTAGTTAAACTAAAATAGCTAGGACTATTCGACGGTACTTATAGCACGCTTCGAGACTTTCTTACCTAACTTAAGGCCTACTACTAGTTTTACCCTACTAAACTCTTAGACCTAGTCGAAAAGGTACTCTACGTAGGAAATTATTTATCTAAAATAGCACTTACTTAGTTTAGACCTATTATAAGGGACTTTCTCGATAACTAACTAGTATAATAAGATAACGAGATAGATAAAGTCTTTGCTAGTTTCTAAGGATTTAAAGAAGCTATTATAAAGGTATTTAGGACAACTAACGAGGAACGAGAAGCTAAATAGAAACTTCGAGAACTCTAATAAAGGATCTTAGTATCGGATTATACTACGAAGTTCTAATAAGTTACCTTAAAGCTTAATTAGGACGACGAACCTCTTATATTACGATTCTACGACGGGCTTAAAGAAGAAGTTAAGGACGAACTCTATATGGAAAATCAACCTAATAACCTCTCGGACTATATTGCTATAGCGGTACGAATCGACGATAGATAGTATACGCGACGCTAAGAAAAGAAATAAGGAAGAGGAAACTAAAACCCTTCCTATAAGAATAACTTTAACCGACGCGCTAACTATAAAAAGAAGCGCGAAACTCTTATTACTTACGCCTATATAACTAACCTAGGTAAGATAGACCTAGATATAATATAAAAAAGTAAAGGAAAGTATTTTAACTATAGGAAACTTAGATATTACTCTAAAGAATATAGATAACCTCGTAAGGAGAAGAAAACCTACTAGGCACTAGCCCTAGAAAGTAAGAAATACCTAAACGCTACTAATAGATAGGAACTAAAGTATAAACTTCTTAGTTAGACTATATACTACGACGACGAATATATAGTATACTTAAGCGATAAGAACGGTACTAAATAGTTCTTAAAGCTACTAAAGAAAACCCTTATAATAATATAATAAAGGGACCCTAAAATATAAAAATAAGTTAAATTTATAGAACCGGAATACCCCTATCTTAAAAGAGTCTCTTAAGACTAGATTAAGAAGAACGGCAAACGATTCTAGGAAGATATACGAAATAAAAATCGATAATAATAATAGGTAGTCTATAAATAATATAATAAAGAAGATATAGATATAGCCCTTATACTTACGAAACTCGGATAATAACCTAAAGAGGAATAACGAAGTATCGACGATATAAGCTTTAAAGAATAAGAACTACCTAGAGAAACGGAAGATAAGAACGAACTTATACTACTACCCTCGCTATTAAGGGAAAACGCTACGATTAGAGAATACGCTCTATACTTTAAAGAATTTAAAGAAATACTTAAAATTAGAACCTAATAGATACCTTAAATTCTTACGGAAAACTAATAAGCTATATTAATTCGATATTAACCGGTACTATATAAAGGAGACTACGCTATAGCTATCGCCGTAGTCGATACCTTTATAGCTCTATAACGAGAATAGTAACTATAAGGAGAATTTAGAGATAATCTATAAATACTACTTACTTATAAGCACTATAAGTATATTTTATAGATATTATACGTCTACCTAGATTATATAATATACTTCTAGATAAAGGTATGATACGATGCCTTCCTAGTTAGGTTCGAAGGATAAGTACTTTCGAAACCTTACCTAAGTATAGAACTAAACTACTAGAAAATCGATTAACGCTACCTAAATAACTAAGTTATATTATTAAAACTTAATTACGGTATACTACTCGAATACCGCGATAATTACGGTTTATTAACGAGATATCTTTTAGAGATATATAAAATCTATAAACTCGCTAAAATAAAAGAATAGTATAACGCTACTCGCTCTAAGGTATCTAAACCCTTAATCTTTTAAAGACTTATATAATAGGTTAAATACGACGAGGAAGATTATAACGAATATATATACCTAAACTATAGAGTTTATAAATATAAAAAAGTATAAGTATAGTATAAATAATATAACGGTGTATTAAAAGATTATTAGCAATATATACGAAGGCTATAAGCTATATTCGACTAAGGAAGAATCGATAAGGAAATACTACGCGAAAAATAGAAAGACGCTAAATAAATACTTAACCTTTAGTATAAAAATAAATAGAATTACGAAGTATAGTACGTAATTAACTACGAAGTAGTATAATATAAATAATATAGCGTTAAGAAATAAGAAATCTTCGATTAGCTATAAGAAATTAGTCTCTTAAGCCCTAATATAATACTATGCGATAAAAATATAAAGAAACGATATTAATAATAAATCGAAGAAGAATACCTAAATAAGACGAATAAGGACTAGGTAAAAAACGAGGTACGCTATCTATAAAAGGGCTATAGACTAGTATAATACGATAAGATCTAAGGACCCTATATATAGCAACGGTAAGCTATAGCGACTAAATAGTATTAGATATCTAAATCGCGGGATATTACGTACGTATACTTTTAAACTACGGCGCGATAGGCAATTACGTTTTACCTAGAGTCGTTAATCGTTACCGACTTATATAAAGATATAAGAAAGATCTATATAAACTTATAAATATTAAAGGAGAGGCCTTTAACTATAATAACGGAATTATTAATATAGAGATTAATTACCTCGATATTAATATCTAGGGCTATAACGAATAAGTTAACTTCGATATTATAGATATTAGAGAATATAACCTTATATTAAGGCTTCTATAGCTATAGGAGAGCAACCTACTAATTAACTAGAGAACTAGCTAGCTATGTTAGAACGAAGACGTAAGTTTCTAGGACTAGTAGATTTAAAAGAAAGCAAAATTTTACGATAATTTAGCTACTAAATAGGATAAAAAGGATAACCGTTTAAGTAAATTATTACGGGCTTTAGCGATATAAACGAAAATAGTAACCGAACTAGCGGATATAAAATCGACTAATAAGACCTACGTACTAACTAATACGGCTATATAACCTAGTATCCGATATAAATAAAATAAAGGATATAATACGAAGATCCGAAGAGATATTACTACTCTAAGGAAAGACCTTAAATA